TTTTTCCCGATTTTTTCCCAATTTTCCCAGCATTTTCTCCCAGGTTTTCCAGTTTTTTCCCCATTTTTTCCCACTTTTTCCTGATTTTTCCCCAACTCTTTCTCCCAGTTTTTTCCACCTTTTTTCTCTGCGCTTTTCCCACATTTTTCCTTCATCCTACTTTTTTTCCCACTTCTCCTTTTTCCCAATTTTTCCCATTTTTTCCCATCTCTCCAGAAATTCCCATCCCAACCCCGTGGCCAGGAAAAATCCTGAAATTCCAGACTGCAAAATTCCCAAATATTCACAATTCAGGATTTTTGGGAAATTTGTGTGAAATTTGCCACAACCCCCAACGTTCCCACAAAACCTCGAATTCCGTAAAATCCCGAAAATTCTTTGGGATAACGACGCCCACCCCATTCCTATTTAAAAAAAAAAAAAAGGGGGAAAAAATTCGGGAAAAACGCGGAAAATTCCAACGGATCCCAAGAATTCCGACGGATTTGGGAATTCCAACAGATCCTGGAATTCCCAGAGATTTTTGAATTCTGACGGATTCAGGAATTCCGACAGATTTGGGAATTCCAACAGATTCGAGAATTCCGATGGATCTTGGAATTCCAACAGATTTTTGAATTCTGATGGATCCCGGGAATTCTGACGGATTTGGGAATTCCGATGGATCCGAGAATTCCGACAGATTTGGGAATTCCGAAGGATCCCGGAATTCTGACGGATTCGGGGAATTCTGACGGATCCCAAGAATTCCAACGGATTTGGGAATTCTGATGGGATTCCAGGAATTCTGACGGATCTGGGAATTTCAACAGATTCAGGGAATTCCAACGGATTTGGGAATTCCGACGGATTCCGGAATTCTGACGGATTTGGGAATTCCGATGGATCCGGGAATTCTGATCGATTTGGGAATTCCGATGGATCCGGGAATTCCAACAGATTGGGGAAATCCAACGGATTTGGGAATTCCGACGGATTTGGGAATTCTGACAGATCCCAGAATTCCGACGGATTCGGGAATTCCGAAGGATTCGGGAATTCCGGTACCTCTGGGCGGGGTCGCAGGGGGATCCTTTGCGCTTCCGGGATTCGGGAATCGCCGGATCCGCGGAGCCGTCGCCGAGGCCGCTCATGGTGGGATCCTACGGAGCACCTGGGGGGGGAAAAAAAAAAAATTGGGAAAAAGGGTTGGGAATGTGGATATTCCCAAGGGAATCCCTCCCCAGGGATTTGGGATTCAGGGATTTTCCTGGAATTCCCAAGATTTTGAGGTGCTGGGATTCTCAGGGATTTTGGATCGTTGATATTCTCAGGGATTGAGGATTTTTCTGGGGGGGGGATTCTCAGGAATTTTGGATTCCCGAGATTCCCAGAGATTCGGGATTCCCGGAATTCCCAGGGTTTTCTGGTATTCCTGGGAATTTCAGATTCCGGGAATTTTCCAGAAATTCAGATTCCTCTGATTCCCTTGGATTTTTGATTCCCTGGATTTCCATGGATTTCAGACTCCTGATATTCCCAGGGATTTTGGATTTTTTAGGATTCCCGGGTATTTTGGGTTCTTGAGATTCCCAGAGTTTTGAGATTCCCAGAATTCCCAGGGATTTCTGATTCCCAAGATTCCCGGAAATTTTGGATTCCCAGGGATTTCAAATTCCCAGGAATTTTGGATTCCCAGGGATTTGGGATTCTCAGAATTCCCCTGGATTTCTGATATTCCCGTGAATTTTGGATTCCCAAAATTCTCCAGGATTTCACATTCCTGGGATTCCCTTGGATTTTTGATTCCCTGGATTTCCAGGGATTTCAGACTCCTGATATTCCCAGGGATTGTGGATTTGGATTCCCAGAAATTTGGGATTCCCAGGCAGTTCATATTTACAGAATTTCAGGATTCCAGAATTCCAAGATTCCAGGATTTTAGGATTCCAGGAATCCAGAATTCCAGGATTTCAAGATTTCAGGATTCCAGAATTCCAGGATTCCAGGTTTTTAGGATTCCAGGATTCCAGAATTCCAGGATTCCAGGATTTTAGGATTCCAGGATTCCAGGTTTTTAGGATTCCAGGATTCCAGAATTCCAGGATTCCAGGTTTTTAGGATTCCAGGATTTCAGGATTCCAGAATCCCAGGATTCCAGGATTTCAGGAATCCAGGATTCCAGAATTCCAGGATTTCAGGATTTTCCGGTCGTGCCGTTCCCATGGAATTGCTCAGGATGGGAATTCCCAGCTCGGAGCCGTTCCCGGGGTGTCCCAACACAGCCGGGAAACGCCGGAGCAGAGAGGGGAGAACCGGGGATGCACCAAACGGAACCAAATCCAACCCAACCCAACCCAACAGAACCCAACAGAACCAAACCCAACCCAATGGACCCCAACGGAACCCAACCCAACAGAACCCAACCCAACCCAAGGGAACCCAACAGAACCAAACCAAACAGAACCAAACCCAACCCAATCCAACCCAACGGAACCAAAGTAATCCAAA